CCCATGACTCCCGTGCTCACACCTTCCACGCCGCTGATGCACTTGACGCGGTCGCGCAGCTCGACGTTGTAGCCCTCGAAGGACATGAAGACGCCGTGCGGGCGGTAGGGCGCGCGCTGCGCGTACACCTTGGAGTAGCTGTGCGAGAACTCGAAGCGCTCGCGGCCCTCGGCCTGCGCGATGCGCCCGTACACCTGGAAGTATTTCTCCAGCCAGCTGAAGGGCAGGAACACCTCGGCGCCCTCGCGCCGCCCCTTCACCGTCTGCTCCTCGTTGATGACGCAGTCGATCTCCTCGTACCTGGGCCCCGCCGCCCTGCCCGGCGACGCCTCCTCGCCCTCGGGAATTCCGGCGGCGCCGCCGCGGCGTTCCGGGGCGGGATGGGAGCAGCGGGCCCAGAGCAGGAGCGAGAGCAGAGCCAGGAGGGAGCAGAGCACCAGGAGAGCCTTGGAGCTGAGGCGGGCCAGGCAGCGCATGGTGCTGCATTCCTGGGGAAAAAAATGGGATGAGAACATGGATTTGGGATGTTCTGGATGGGAATGGTCATGGTGGCAGGGCCAGGCAGAGCATGGTGCTGCATTCCTGGGGAAAACAGGGAAAAACGGGGAACAAAATGGGATGAGAACATGGATTTGGGATGTTCTGGATGGGCCAGGCAGAGCATGGTGCTGCATTCCTGGGAAAAACATGGAAAAACGGGGAGAAATGGGGTCAGAAGATGGATTTGGGATGTTCTTGATGGGCCAGGCATGGTGCTGCATTCCTGGGGAAAACAGGGAAAAACGGGGAGAAAAATGGGATGAGAACATGGATTTGGGATGTTCTGGATGGGCCAGGCAGAGCATGGTGCTGCATTCCTGGGGAAAACGGGGAAAAAAATGGGATGAGAACATGGATTCGGGATGTTCTGGATGGAAATGGTCAGGGTGGCAGGGCCAGGTAATGCCTGGTGCTGCATTCCTGGGAAAAACGGGGAAAAACAGGGTCAGAACATGGATTTGGGATGTTCTGGATGGGCCAGGCAGCGCATGGTGCTGCATTCCTGGGGAAAACGTGGAAAAACGGGGAGAAATGGGGTCAGAAGATGGATTTGGGATGTTCTCGATGGGAATGGTCAGGGTGGCAGGGCCAGGGAGCGCATGGGGCTGCATTCCTGGGGAAAATGGGGAAAAACATGGAAAAATGGGGTCAGAACATAGATTTGGGATTTCCCAGGTGGGAATGGTCAGAGTTACACAGCCAGGCAGCGCATGGTGCTGCATTCCTGGGAAAAAATAGGGAAAAATATGGAAAAACAGGGTCAGAAGATGGATTTGGGATGTTCTGGATGGGAATGGTCAGCATTCCTGGGGAAAATACAGAAAAACTGGATCAGAACAGGGATTTGGGCTTTCCCAGATGGGAATGGTCAGCACATGGTCAGCAGTCCTGGGAAAACACGGAAAAATGGGATCAGGAAAGGGATTTTGGGATGTTCTGGATGGGAAAGGTCAGCATGCGGTCCTGCGGGCCTGGGAAAAACGGGATCAGGATGGGGATTTGGGATTTCCTGGATGGGAAGGGCACTCATGGGGGAATATTCCTGGGAAAACAACGGAAAAATGGGATCAGGACAAGGATTTGGGATTTCCCAGCTGGGAACGGCGCCCCTGATTCCTGGGAATCAGGGAAATGTGGGATCCAAGCTGGGAGAGGAACTCCAGGGATCCCAGCAGAGCCGGGAAGAAACGGGAATGGGGAAAAGCAGCGCTGCTCTTACCTTAGGGAAAGGGAATTCTGGGAATTCTGGGAATCCTAACGCATCTCGAGCTTCCAGAGGCAAAAATCCCGGGATTTACGGATTCCTCTTGGGATTCCTGCAGGGAAAACCGGGAAAAACGGAGCTGGAGCAGCGCCAGATGGAGCTTTTCCTGGGAAATCCTGGTATTCCCAGGAAACTCCTCAGAATTCCAGGAAAATCCTGACATGCCCAGGGAAATCCTGGTATTCCCAGGAAACGCTTCAGAATTCCAGGAAAACCCTCAGGGGATCCCAGGAAATTCCAGATCCCGTATTCCCGAATCCCAGAGCCGGGATTCCAGCACTCCACATTCCCCCAGCCCGTATCCCGCATTCCCGCACATTCCCAGCCCACATTCCCGGCCCGCATTCCCAAATAATTCCCAGCGCTCCCATTCCCTCATCCCAGGCTCCGGCAGCAGCCCCGAGGCGCTCCGAGCACGCCCGGCCCCCGGCTAATCGCGCTGCCCCGTGTCCCCGCCGCCGCCATGATCCCCAGCAGTGCCGCTATCCCCGCCGCTCCCGTTATCCCGGGAATTCCCGGGAATTCCCGGCCCCGCTCCCTTTACCCGGGGCCTGGCGGGCGGCGGAACCACCCGCGCGGGGCAGCGGGGGGAGCACGGAGGGGCGCGCGCCGGGGGCCCCGCCCTCGCGCGCCGCGGCCAATGGGAGCGCGCGGCGGGGGCGGGCGCCGGCCAATAGGAGAGCGCGGCGCGGCGGTGCCGCCGCCATAACGGCGCCGGGTAGGGCGGGGCGGGAAGGAGGAGGCGCCGCCGCCGCCGCCGCCACCCCGGGGCGGCTCCGGGAGCGCTGCGGGCGCCGCTCGCACCCGCGCGGGGCCCCGGCAGCGCCGCAGGCCCCGCTGGCACCGGCGCGGCCTCCGGTGGTACCGGGGGGGGGGAGCGGCGGGGGCGGCCCCGCCCCGGATTCCCGCGAGAGCGGCGGCGGCCAATCAGAAGCGCGCGTTTAATGGGCGGGGCTTGCGGGCGGCGCGCGGCGCTGATTGGCTGGCGGGGGCCGCGCCCACTGCGCGGTCACGTGGCAGGGCCGCGTGGGGCGGGAGCCGCCGGCTTGGGTGGTGGCAATTAACGCGGGTTAATGAATAATTAATTAATGAATAATTAATGAGCAATCGATGCATAATCGATGGATAATGGATGGAAGGAGCCGGGAGAGCGGCGGGGCTGGGGGAGCGGCTGCGCCAGGGGAGGTTTGGGAATGTTGGGATAATTCCCGCCTGGAAAATTCCCGCCTGGAAAATTCCCACCTGGAAAAAGCTCCAGGCGTGGAAGAGCCGCCAGGCAGGGCTGGAGTCGCATCCTAGGGGGATTGAAACCCTTTGGATGTGGCACCTGGGGACAGCGGCTTGGTTGGAGTCCAGGAGCTCCGAGGGTTTTTCCAACAGGAAGAATTCCATGATTCTGGACAAATTCCGGATCCTCCATCCCTAAAAACCGCCCAGCTCGGGATAAACCCGACAGAGCCAGGATGGACGCGGTTCAATCCCAATCCATCGCTAGCCCCGGGAATTCTGCACCCTGCCCACCAGGAGCTGCAGCTTCGGAGCGGATCCCAGGCCTGGAAAAGGCTGGAAAATCGGGAATCTCCCAAGGAATTGTTATCCACGGCCTCGCCAGCTCCTGATTCCTGGATTCCCTCGATTTACCAGGAAAACCAATCCCAATCCAGCGCCGATTCCACGTTGGAGGCAGCAGCACCTCTCGGACACCGATTCCCATCCTGCTTTTTCCTTGGTTTTGCCAAGGAGCTGGAATTGCTTCCATCAACCTCAACATTCCCATCTTTCCCTCAATTATTCCTCGGATCCAAGACAACTTTCCCATCTTTTCCTCGATTCTTCCCCAGATCCAAAGGGAAGTTTCCTATCTTTTCCTGATTTATTCCTCATATCCAAAGGAAACATTCCCATCTTTTCCTGAGATCCAAAGGAAATATTCCCACCTTTTCCTGATTTATTCCTCCGATCCAAAGGAAACATTCCCATCCTTTCCTGATTTATTTTCATATCCAATGGAAGCATTCCCATCTTTTCCTGATTTATTCTCAGATCCAAAGGAAACATTCCCATCTTTTCCTGATTTATTCTCAGATCCAAAGGAAAGTTTCCCATCTTTTCCTCAAATCCAAAGGGAAGTTTCCCATTTTTTCCCAATTTATTCCTCATATCCAAAGGAAACATTCCCATCTTTTGCTGATTTATTCCTCAGATCCAAAGGGAAGTTTCCCATCTTTTCCCGGTTTATTCTCGGATCCAAAGGAAACATTCCCATCTTTTCCCGGTTTATTCTCAGATCCAAAGGAAACATTCCTGTCTTTCCCTGGTTTATTCTTGGAATCCAAAGGAAACATTCCCATCTTTTCCTGATTTATTCCTCAGATCCAGAGTGAAGTTTCCCATCTTTTGCTGATTTATTTTCTTATCCAATGGAAACATTCCCATCTTTTGCTGATTTATTTTCATATCCAATGGAAACATTCCCGTCTTTTCCCAGTTTATTCTCGGATCCAAAGGAAACATTCCCAGGGCTCCGTGGCCCAGCCCGTCCCTCGCTCCCGGCCCCGGCGGCTCCGGGCTGGGCTCAGAAGTTTTCCCTGGAGAAGCGGAAGCCGAAGGCGCGGCAGTGCCGGCGGACGAGCCCGGCCAGCGCCGCGGGGCCGCAGAAGAACACGGAGACGTTCCCGCGCCGCTCCGCCGCCACCTTCCCGAACACCTGCGGCGGGAGCGCCGGGATCTGCCGCTCCCTCCCCTCCCTGCCCATCCCGTCATCCCGGATCCCGTCCCGTCATCCCGGATCCCGTCATGTCATCCCGGAATTCCATCCTGTCATCCCGGATCCCACCCCAGATCCCGTCCCATCATCCCAGATCCCATCCCATCATCCCGGAATTCCATCCTGTCATCCCGGATCCCATCCCGGATCCCGTCCCGTCATCCCGGATCCCATCCCGTTATCCCGGAATTCCATCCTGTCATCCCGGATCCCATCCCGTCATCCTGGATCCCACCCCGGATCCTGTCCCATCATCCCAGATCCTGTCCCGTCATCCCGGATCCCATCCCGTCATCCCGGATCCCATCCCGTCATCCCGGATCCCATCCCGTCATCCCAGAATTCCATCCCGTCATCCGGGATCCCGTCCCGTCATCCCGGATCCCATCCCATCATCCCGGATCCCATCCCGTCATCCCGGGCTAGAGGAGACACTTGGGACGAGGCCATCTCTGCAGTCCTTTCCAGCCCAACCCATTCCATGATTGTGATCCCATTCCATGATTTTGTGATCCCATTCCCCAGTTCTCTGATCCCATCCTCCAATTCTCTGACCCCATTCCATGATTCTCTCATCCCATTCCATGATTTTCTGACCCCATTCCACGAGCCCATGATCCCATTCCATGATTCCAGAATCTGACCCAGAATGAGAGGCTTGGAATGAGATCATCTTCCCATTCTCTCCCAGCCCATTCCCTGGTTCTCTGATCCCATTCCCCGATTCCATGCTCCATTCCCGTATTCCATGCTCCATTCCCCGATTCCATCCTCCATTCCCCGATTCCATGCTCCATTCCCCAATCCCATGATCCATTCCCCAATTCCATGCTCCATTCCCCGATTCCCCGCTCCATTCCCCGATTCCATCCTCCATTCCCCGATTCCATCCTCCATTCCCCGATTCCATGCTCCATTCCCGTATTCCATCCTCCATTCCTGTATTCCCCGCTCCATTCCCCGATTCCATCCTCCATTCCCCGATTCCATGCTCCATTCCCCGATTCCATCCTCCATTCCCCAATTCCATGCTCCATTCCCCGATTCCATGATCCATTCCCCGATTCCATCCTCCATTCCCCAATTCCATGCTCCATTCCCCGATTCCATGCTCCATTCCCCGATTCCATGATCCATTCCTGTATTCCATGCTCCATTCCTCGATTCCATCCTCCATTCCCCAATTCCATGCTCCATTCCCCAATCCCATGATCCATTCCCCGATTCCATGCTCCATTCCCCGATTCCATCCTCCATTCCCGTATTCCATACTCCATTCCCCGATTCCATCCTCCATTCCCCGATTCCCCACTCCATTCCCCGATTCCCCGCTCCATTCCCCGATTCCACGCTCCCTCCCTTGGCTCCGCTCACGCTCTCCGGCCCGCGCAGCATTCCCGCTCCGCGGCTCCCGCACTCCCTGACCTTGTCCCAGTCGGGCCGG